TATTTCGTCTTTTTTTCCCTGACAATCTCTTTTAAATAGCTGTATACACCCTTTTAATAAGTCCCGAGGTATTGTGTTCTCCGCACTTGACGTCAAATTTATTCTTTTGAAATTTTTACAATACAAAAGGAATTCAAAAGAAYAAATTTGACGTCAAGTGCGGAGAACACAATACCTTGGGACTTATTAAAAGGGTGTATACCGCTATGGTATGCTATAGACGTCTAAGACTTTTACTTCACTACTTGGTTCTCAATGCATTGTGGGATCAGATTCCAGAGGGGGAAAAAAGAAATCCGGCATGTTTTGTCCCAAACATATCATGCAATGCATTGCGTACACGGCACATGATAGGTTTAGGGGTCTATTATCGCTTGAAAGGAGAAAGACTAGCCAGTCTTTTTCCTGGCCTTTAAAGGGACACTGTCAATGGATGACATGCGCAGTAACAGTCTCACCTCTAACGGACTTTGAAAGTATWACCTTCGARGTAAATCATTTTGTGGTGCTTTTGACACACTTTGGAATATYCTTGATCTGTTTACGTTTACGAGCTGATTTATGTCGCGCCAACTTGGAGTTATAAACTTGAAAACTCTAGCCTAGTGTTTTCAAGTTTACTCGCGCATGCGTGCCATTGATAGTGTCTCTTTAATTCTCACTTATTCCTGAGTGGGGGAGGGGTGGTGACTGACGACGTTGACCGTATGTGTTGATTATAATTCCAGGCAACCATAACTACAACGCCGCCTAAACCTGACCCTGAACCTTCATCAGACTCATCCGCGAACCTTCTAGACATTAAAAAACGACTTGACAAAATCAAGAATGCTGCCCGACAATAATTGCTTTACAACAGGGATCCCATAGCAGGCATATTACCGCTGGATAAAACTGACAAATTAGGCGGCCAAAGTACCATTTGAGATCAAGAACGTAGTCCGCCAATAATTGTATCACCATAGAAATACCATGGAAGGCATATTTCTGCTGGACGAAACTGACATGTGCAGCGGAAAATATATCATTAGACATTAAGAGCGCAGCCTGACAAAAATTGTATTAGCATAGGGATACTAATTAATCGATATATACCGCTGGCCAGAATGCTCGCATATGCCGATAACTCATTAGAGAACTTATGTTAACTTCCATAACGTGGTTTTGCTCTTATCAATCAGAATAGTCAACTTTAGATATTTTGGTTCGATGACTATGTACAAAAGAACGCACACGAGGCTCCGGGGAAACAATGGATAATCTTGATTTATTCTTTTATTTCCCCGGAGCCTCGTCTGCAATTCTTTTGTGCATGGTCACTGAACCAAAATATCTAAAGTCGACTATTGCGATATCCTTCCGAAACTCATTATATAAAACCGAACAAACTCCGAACATTACTTCGCAGCTCGCTCGGTTTTGATAAAGGAGTCTACAAAACCAGTTCGGATTTGATCGACATCTTCAAGAAGACAAAATGTTGGTTTAACTTTGCAATAGTGCTTGTGTGTTGGTTTTGGCCCTTTTGGTAGGGAAGGTAGACGTTTTCTTTGTATATAAATGTGTTAGGTTGCGATGTTRAATTGATTTGTACATATTGCATTGATGTGTGGTATGGAAATTAAACAAACTAAATTGACAATCGATCCTAGTAGTAATCCTTATAATTATTCAACTTTGCATGAACTGTTAAGGGGACTGTTAGCCCATACTGACAATGGTATTTCCCACTGTTGGCKTYATGTTTGTTTTGGCGAAGYKTATCCTGGTGTCAATGTCCCGAWTACTACGTAGGAMATGGCAGGATTTAGTTTCAGGMCTTTGCACTGGCAAAAATAGCGCACTCTAAAAGGTTGTAAATSTGATGTAAATATTATCTAAGTGTTCAAAATGATGCAAATTTGATGTAMATGATTTGCATYAWTTTGACATTGTTTTGGACACTTACAAAATATTTACATCAAATATCAAATTTACAACCTTTWAAGTGCGCGATTTTTTACAGTGTTGAAAGGGTAGGACTGCTAGAGTCTCAAAATGTTCTGTTTTCTTGTTTTTAGATGYCTTTGTTGTTATTTTTTTAMWTTTTTTWAAATATGTCATTACWCATGTTAAAGTGCTACTTGCGTGAAAATGGCCTTATTTCAAAACGTCAAGCAATAAAAATGTATGACTCACATATATCTATTAAAAACAATTGCGGGAWAATATTTGTTTTGGAATTGTCCCACATCAGAGAAATTTTGATTCAAAAGATGGAAGAACAAAAGGATTGAATAAATGACGTCATCTACTCCAACATTTTGACCAAATTATTAAAGATTTGTATCARTATCTTCTTAAAATCTGTTGCTTCATGATTATTAGACCCATATGGATAATAAGTTATTAGTCTTTTCTAATGTTTCGCAATTTTCGTCCAAGTAGCCCTTTAAAGAATAATAATAATAATAAAAACAGCAAGCAAAAGAAAAGCGTCCAGAAAAGAAGGAATCAGGTCTCAATTTCAGGGATAAAAAAAACATACGAGAGTGAATGGTCTGAACTCAGGTGTAAGCGATATGCATGTGATATGATCGTCCGGCAGTGAGAATTCTTAGTTGAGGAAGACTTTCACACTAAAGTTACCTGACGTTTCGACGTCCTGTGTGGAAGTCTGAAGACGACTTCCACTCAGCAGGTTGTGTGGAAACATCATGTAACTATTGATCGTTTTCAACCATTCTCATGAGATTCAAAAGATAAAAGACCGGCGGCCATGTTGGAGGAATGAAGAATAGATACTAATGAGACATCTTTTGTTTAAACTCCTCCAAGATGGCCGCTGTGACGTAATTTGAAAACGAAGAATAACAGCCTTTCTCAAATGTTCTCACACACGAACGATTACATCTCACCTACATTAAAAAAACCCTGAAACAATATTACTTCAGCCTTCGAGTTTGTATTTGTCAAATCGAGCCCATCGTACATTTAGTCGAACATCACATAACGTCATTGTAGGGGGGGATATATGTGACATGAAATATAAACGGGATCCCAAAGATTAATGGCCTCCTCCGACGACCTTGAAAAATGCGGTCAAAAACCGGAAACGTCTACTCTGTGTCTCATTAATTCCATCCATTGTTTTCTTTTGTTCCCACTACAGTAAAAAAAAAACATATAATAACCATTGGATTCAGGACGGATTTGATTTTTATTTGATGGCTATGTGTTTTTCCCTTTGAAAAATCAGCCTTAGGGCCGATAACTTTCTAGCGAATTCGTTTGAATATTAATTTCCATTAGGTGGGTTTGCTCCTACTTGCGCGATAGCAAAGTGGCGGTTATCGCGCTGCAAAAATCGGCAAGTGTAAACGGGTCTACTTGATGTGTGTTGAAATTATTTCTAAATATGTACTCAATAGAGTGAGGTCATAAACCTGTGATACAATTTGATTATTAAAGTATGATAGTTAAATAGATAC